TGAATATCAGAATAATACGATACGATTAGTTATTGGATACGATATCGACCTACACGACTGCACGAATTCACGGATTTCGCGAAAATTCTTATGACACAGACGAGACGTGGGTTAAAAAATTGTCGGCGAGGTGAAGTAATAAATGACCCGCTAACGACGGATTCCGGGACATATTATTATTACCTGTCATATTATTAACGGGACAGCTAATTAAAATGTGAGGTATGTATTTGATTTCAAAGTTAAGCTTGTACGAAATTATACAATATAATAGTATCATTTAAAACGGTACAATTACAACTACAATTACATTGTGTACTATTATTAAAAAAAAAAAGTGCATATTATTCAATAATCAAAAAAATCTGGATACGCAAATAACTAAAATTGCCTCTCATGCAAAATTTAGTAAAAGTGCCGTTTAATACAACACCCACGAAAAATGCCATTAAAATTCCCCTACTGCCTGTAACTATTACATGTTATTATTACTTATTAGATATTTTATTTCACAAGTTTTGTGCATCGTTTTAAAACTAGCTATGCTCTAATGTCATGTCGTGTGCTATGTAACGCGTAACTTGGTATCCATCCACGGCCGAGTACAAGTAGGCAATACGTTACATAACGTACATCGTCGTTACATCACTCGCGAATTTCAACAGGATTATCAACCAAGTCTGGTAATATTTTATTGTGTTGTCATATTGACTCCGATCGTCTACTTTTAATCCGTTTCAAAGGTCGGCGCAGTTAAAAAAAATAAAAAACCTACCCCAAATAAATTGAATGTCATGCTATTATGTCGATCACTGATATATTTAAAGGGAGTGGATGACAAAGGCTATTGTGGTTACTGGTTAGTGAATTCATAAAATAATATCTTAACTAACTTATACCACTAGGTAGGGACCATAATAATACGGCTCACTGAGCTTCCGATATTATACGTATTATAATATTCACTCTTTTAAACATACCTACAATTATCATACCATTTCCTATGTATAGGACATTTCAAAGTAAAATTATGTTCAAGTGGTCTATAGACCACCGCGGCAGGTTTAGAAATATCAGGTTTTCTCATAGAATTTAAGACAAAAACCGTTATTACGATCGGAGATAATAATATAATGTATATTATGGTACTGGTTTACAAAAAAAAAAAATAAGAATTTATTACAGATACCAGCCGGTTGTTCTCGGCGAAATTGATTTAATCAGCATGTTTGGACCGTTTAGACGAATCTTTTCAAAGATAGGTAAAAGTAGATACAGCTAATGAACTATGAAAACAATTAAGAGAATGGGATATGGGAAAAATATATATTTATGTAACATAATATTGCAAGTATTTTTTTGAAAACGATCTGGTGAATTTTAAAAACTGTCTAATGGGCCATGACCTCGGATAAAAACTCAATCTCAATCCGCTGAATTTTCAATGAAACTGTTAGAGTACTTTTGACTAGTAAATAGTAATTATTATGCCATGCACACTAAAAAAATATAATTTCTGTTTAGGCATCATGGCGAATAACCGGGAACGTTCTGTCGTTCTTCCGTGTAAACGCTTATTTTTATCGACGCTTCCTTTAACGTTATCTCTATAGACATGTATATATACATGCAGTATTGTTTTTGTTTTTGCATTTCGATTGTACATCGTCTTATCGGTGTTCGTTATAATATGACTATGTATTTTTTGGGTAGAATACGATTGCGCGCATTACTATTGCGCTCATACCCTTTTGGCTTACGATTGCGCGTGTTAAATACGATTACACGATTGTGCAATGTTGCCAAATTTAATAACACGATGATACAAATTCTAAGATAACTAATGTCGTATTTATCTGCAGATTATCTCATCTTTTTAAGAACATCGTACAGTGATGCGGTGCTAGCGGCACTCGTCGCTGCGCTCCGCTCCGCAAATCGAAAATATCCACCGACTTGCTGTGCAACACCTCCCCAAGTGGGTCACAGGGTTAAGAAATTCAGATCGTGAATAATCGTTTTAAATATACCGACTCAGATACTTTTCAGTAGAGCGCATACCGAATCAGCACTTGTTGGTAGAGCGCATACCGAAACAGAAACTTGTTGGTAGAGCGCATACCGAATTAGCACCAGAAATTGTAAAAATAATATTATAATCCTGTTTTATTTTTTGACTGTTGATGGTATACATTAATTAACATATTAGGGTATTTTATTTTTATATGTATTTTATGATTTGTTCGTGTAATTTATTATTATATTTATTAAATTATTATTAAAAACTCTTAGCTCAAGCAAAATTAAATTACTTTCAATTTGGCAACGTCGCATGAAGTTTTACGAGCAATCGTACATATATCTTACCCAAAATGTATGTTCTATTGTCCCATTAAAACATGCGCAATCGTATTATGAAAAAGGTAAAATACGCGCAATCGTATTTTACCGTATTTTTTGCGGGCAGGAAACACAATATTATCATATATTTGTATTTGTTATCGGTAAGAATTGAGGTTCTAATATTATTATTTTTCTGATATCACGGTAATCATACGTTATAAATTATAATTCATGGCATCATATTTTTATTTTATTTTTTTATTAATTATATTTTCCTGACATCTTTTATAGCAACAGTTATTATAAAATATACAATTATCAAATTAATATAACTAAATTATTAATTAGCTTCATTTTACCGAAAAAATAAATAAAAATTAGTAATTTTTATGTTATAGAGGTTCTTTTATTGAACATATCAGTGTAATTTATTTTTTTACTAATAACTCAAGTTTAAACAGTTTTAGTAGTATAGGTAGATAAAGTATACGTGCTAGTATACTAGCGCTAGTGCACAAGTCTACTTTTTCGTTTGAATTTTATTAAAAATTATTTATACTTGGCGACTAATCATACAGATAACAGGTAAGAACGGAAATGGTATCCACAGACTTTATTTACACAAACATTATTTGACGTAGACGGTAGACTTGAGATATTTCGTTTGAAAGCGATAAAAAAAAAATCGATTGTCATTTTAAGGTTTTAAACTTTGAACATTGAACTTGAAAAGATACTATACTATTCTATAATAATAATATCATGTATGATATGAGTCATTTAAACGTAATATTAAAATATTGGTATATAGGTATTAGCTATAAGCTATAACTATTTTATCATAACGTTATTCTTAAAATATTCCAAGATGTAAAAAGGGTCTTGTGCAAGGATAGTCAATATAGGAACCTGAATAGATTTGATTTGTCTCCATAGACTCCATGAGATTGATTTTGAAACTTTTTAAATTAAGTGTTGGTTGATATAGAACATAACCTAATCGTCCTAATCGACCTACGTTATGGGGAATCTTGATTAAGATTTGATATTTATTTAACAATGGGAAAAATCGATTTTGATAAACTTCGTGATTTAAATTTAATTTCAGAAATTATTATGCATCACTAAGCCAACCGGGGTCCGGGGCGATTGAAAAAAATTGGTTATTATGGGTTTTGGTAAAAAAAACTTGGTCGGAATATTCAATAAACTTAAAAAATGTAAGAAAAGTTTTTTAACAAGCATATTTTATACAAAACACACGCTATTGATAAACTATAAAAGTAATGTTTTAATTTCATACAACAAATAGTTTAGATTACTTTTTATTAATTATGTTTAAATATGAAATACAAACGGCATAATTTTGATATTGTTATACTCATTAGTTAATACCTAGTTACATATTAATGATTAAGTATTTCAACGGTTTTATCATACTTGAATCTAGGACCAAGGACCAATTAATTCATTTTAAACTAACCACTAACATATTATAATATAAGTGTGTACCTCTATGGGTGTATTTGTTTAAAATATTTATAATTAAAATAGGTACCTAATTAAAAATATTAACATGTTTTTACTGTTTTTTATCAGTGTGTAATTATAAAAAGAATGCTATTGTGCAAGCAATTTTCAAAAAGGTCAACCCACTGTAATAATGTTTATTGTTTTGCATGACTTGGCCATTTAAAAAAATTAACATACTATGATATAAAAACAACGACATTTGATGGTGAACCATCAATATTCATATGATGCACAATTGCACGAATGACAAAATAAACGTTGGCTGGCGTGAAACTGCAAACTGCATAAAAATAATAATTATGAAAACAATTTTTATCAAAATATCTTAATTTAATGGAAAATCCTTAAGACTATAGTTTTTATTCATTTTTAAATATAGTTCATAAATTTGTCATAAGTCTTACACAATAAATTAAAATAAAAAATTTTAAGGTACAATAAAAAAAATGTTGTATTTACATTTTAAAGGCATATTAATATCAACAACAAAATAAGACCTAAATTGAAAGTATGTGTATAATGTATGTACAATGGTTCGACAAATAGAGAAAAAATGCAAAATCTTCTACTGACTTTTTTTTTGTTTTAATACCCTGTATGTGAATTTGTAAAACTATCTACATTTATGAAATTATTCTGACATCAAAGTACCGCCATAAAAATAGATAATTGAACAGTAAGACAAAAAAATTAAAACAAAAACACACACATTTCCAGTCTTCGCAGCACACTTGCATGATGTATGTCAAAAAGTTATCAATGTTAAAATTCAAAACATTGACACTGTTCGATACACGTGTGTGCAAATGTGATTTTAGAATACATAAAAATACTTATAATTTAATATATAATACGTATTGGCTTATGAACTCTCCATCCAAAAATGATGTCATGGTCAATTTGCGCAAACTTTATCTTAAACAACAATAGTTTTAGTAATAATAATAGTTAATAATAATAAATGATATCGATAATTATAGCAATAATAATGATAATAATAATAATGATAATGAACGAGAAATAAGTCACAAAAAAACGTTCGAATACTCGTCGTTGGGTGCATAATTTCTGAGAACCCGGATGCACTCTGATATAATAATATTACAGTTTCACAACATCAACAATCAGTAGATGTATTCGCATGTCTTTATTGGTCTCCCCATGCAGTTGAACGCACTTTTGAAAGATTCTGAATGTTCAGATATCGTTTTTAATCTATAAAAAAAGTAACACACATGAAAAATAATTTGATTGTTAAATTTTTAATAAACGGGAAAAAAGCCAACGCGCAACTCTGAACGCCTTACATAATGCCGCCATACCATCTCCTATACATGATATGTTGCCTATATGAAACGCCGAGTTTTTCTCTCAATCTGCGACGTCCAACGCACAACATTTATAAATACATAATAACACTATTATACTTACAAAAGAGATTCATCAGACATCAAGTCGTACATGGTGTCCAAATCTTGTTGTTGTGGAGATTTGATTGTGCACAGAGACTGTAACGAAAAATCCATGAATATTATTATTATAAAATTGGCATATTATTGTATAATAACATTATCATGTGAAAAGTATACAGACACAATACACCGAATTCTATAAAAGCCACTCCTTATAATTTAAAACTTGGATGTAAAGTACCATAGTCAGAGTACTGTTATTGTGAGAATCAATGACTTGTCATCAACTAATTTTAATTTAATTTAATTTAACAGGTCATTAACACACTTAATAGATCATTGAATATACAGACACTTGCAGAAGCGTTGGGATTAATTAGGGATTAATATTTAAGAATATTTTAAAAATCGAATTAATAGTTGTCTGAATAAATTTCACTCCATTATTGTAATGTTCATATCCTTACTTGTGCGTATCCTATGAAGAACAGCGCGTCGTATTCATAGGACTCCATGGCCGGTTGATGGTAATGTGGTTCAGTTTGCGTTTTTTTCGTTAAGCTCTGTGAAAACAAGACATTAAATAATATATTCATCGAGGTTTCAAACTAAGCTTAAAATAATTAATTTATGATAGTTCACGAAGTATATCTCGCTAAGCATTTCCATTTCTCAAAAGGCAATAATGGCGAGGGAAACAGTTGTACTTAACACTTATACTATTACAATAGATAATAGAAAATTATTAACCGAGATTTTAAGACCTAATAAATATATGATTTATACTTTATAGTGATGATCGAATATTAACGCTGAAGTGAGATAGGGTTAAAAACCCAATCGTTTATATAAATACGTCTAAGAACAATTTTTTGATCGCTGTATAGATAGCTAAAAGAGATTTTGTACAAAATAAATAACAAAAAAATATATACAACATTATATCGTCACGCGTATACAAAGGCACAAAACTACTTTAATGTCGATTTACGATCAATAGATTCGTGAAGGCCAAACTCTCATAGGCAAGTAACGTCAATGGACTATGGCCGGTTTACGATTGATTATGAGTTATGATAATATAAGTCGCTGCGACATAAATATCACTATCACACATCACTACTATCTGATAAACATACCTGCAGGGCAAATCGAACGCTCGATACTGATAACATTGCTGTCAGCACTGTGTTGTTAACGAAATCCACCTGTTGGTCCTTTAGGAATTGGCCGAAGCAAGAGCGGGCCTCAACAGTGGCGCCGATACTTCGGTTGACGGCCGCCGAGTGGGCTTGTAACAATACTCCGTCTGTGCCGTGAGCCACTCCCGGTGGATACACGCTGGACAGAATGGCTGAGCTGATTTCTACACCCAAACCTCCATACAACAAAGCCCTGTGCAATAGAATAGGCGTTAGTACCAAGATGGATTTACAATAAATTTTAAATCAATTTACGGTTTTATGAGCACACACATATATTTTATATTTTTTTGGACTTACTCAGGATAACCAGTCTCGAAATAAGGTGGTGATAGCAACGACAGTGGAACGATTACTTTGTTATTGGCTACGTTGTATGTGATTTTTGGATCTTCAGACACCAAGTCATCCAACCACCTGCGGAAAATAGAATGACGGAGTGTTAAAAAATACTCTGATATATTCAAAATAATACTATGCATAATGAAACCAAAATGTTCTGTTGAATCACTGTACAACAAAAGCTTGTAAACAATATAATATCGAATTCTTTATACATTTTATGCTGAAACGCTTTTTCAATTTACTATTAAAAATATATATAAATATCATATTTATGAATTAGGTACCTATAATACTAAAATTATTTTAAAATTATTAGAATTAGTACAACGTTTCTTAATGATCATTAATCGTTTTTTTTTAAATTTATCTATTAAGCGAAAATGTATGTAACATTATAACAATAATTAATAATACCCTAACCGGGATTCCACACAAAGTTTTCTCAGTAAAGCTCATTATTTCTTAATAAGAAACTGAAAAAACGTAATGGTATGAACAGTATAACCATTTTGATATTATTATATAAAACTTACCCATATTCTTCTTTCTTGGATTTAAGTTTGATCTGCGAATAATCTTTAATGAATGATACGGCGTAATTTACGTTTTGGAAAAAGTCAAGCTTTTGAATTTGCAACTGGTTGTAGAATTGATTCACGTAATTCTCTTGGAGCATATTTTCTGGTAACCCGATTTGTACTGTCAATGAGTTCAACTAAAACGGAAATGGGTAAACAGTAAGCTTTTAACCAATCTGAATAATTTTAAAGGTATAAACTATTACCTTGTTGAGTACGTGATCACTCAACTCTGATCCTAAGTCTTGGGTTTTTTTTACGTTTGATATAATCGACTCTTTAATGTTCTCAAAAACGTCTTTCACTACGGCTACAACGTCAGCCTTTTTTTCGATGTGTGGTTCCAGCGTAGCGGTTATACCGAATCCCATAAATTTTTGCAACAGAGAAACGCAAATCTCCCATCTAGGTGGCAAATCTTTCTCGCCCGTAAGCTCAGCTGTGTAAATTTTGACAATTTCCCTAAACTTGACTGATAAATATGGGACATAAGCTTCAGCCATTTTCCACATGAAATAGTCGTTTAGTCCACTGTTTGAAAAACACAATTACAGTATTTTGTTAGAAACGAAGTTATAGGAAAACTTATAGTCGAAAAACTAACCTGCGGTCTGACGACGATATCAGATTAGATAAGTTACTGAAATAAGTCGGTGACACAACCGATACGAACGTGTCGTCGCCAATATTACTTTCTGGAAACTTTGATTGCAAGATGTCTAAAAGCGGAATCTACAACGAGACACGAAATCGAAATCAATTTATAATAATGAATCTAGGAAAAAAAAGCCCCGGAAAAAAAAGCCCCGGAAAAAAAAGCCCCTAACAACATTCATCGGAAAAAAAAGCCCCGTCATAGGAAAAAAAAGCCCAATACCAACTAAATACATTATTCTTTTTTATTATGATTTATATAATTAATTATAATCATAATATCCATAATCATAAATATAATATTATAAAATAATATACTAGTAAATTATTTTATTATATTATTATGCATCTAATTTATTATACAAGGTAATACATTTATTTTCTTAAAAGGTAACTATAAAAAAATGACATCTAGTATATGACACATTGACTCGACACGACACTAATAAAAATAATAATAATAATAATAATAACTAATTATATCACAATTAAAAATACACTATTCATTGTAGTTTGTTGTTTGTTTATAATTAAAAATTTTTTTAGGGTAGTTCATAGCAAAAATAAAATTATAAAATTGTATTTAAAAATACAAATATACAAAAAATCAAAGATAAATAATATTATACTCTTTAATTTAAAATTTAAAATAATGCATAATCATAATTTATAATGCATGTACTGAAATAAATGTATAAAAAACCTCACAATAAAATATATATAAATTTAAATAATACTTAAAATTGAACGCGTAATATAGATACCTAGGCATATTGTTTAAAAATTTAAAATTATAAAATGTCGACTATAATAAAAAAAGTGATATGTATTTCGTAGGTACGCCGTACGGGGCTTTTTTTTCCTATGGCGGGGCTTTTTTTACCGTATTTTTTTTCTGGGGCTTTTTTTTCCGGGGCTTTTTTTTCCGGGGCTTTTTTTTCCGAATACCATAATAATATACACAACACAAATAAAAAATAACTATATGTATATGGACCGCTACATATTATGTTTGTATATTATGATATAATATCTTCGTACCATTCCAGCGATTTCTTTCAGTTTAGACAACTTGAACCGTCGGTGAGAATGAAATGGATCCTCTTGTTTGCTAGCTGGCGTTATTTCTGCGATACGTTTCTCGTAGTGGAACATGTCGTTGCTGAATATCGATGCGTCACCACTGGTGGCGCCGAGTAATTGCGATACGTCCACCATGTACTGTTTGTAGGCTGCCACAATCTGCAAATAATCATCGAAGCACGTATTTATAGTAAAATACATCTGTAATCTAATTCTTACTAACATTATTATTATTGTTGTGTTATAATAATATTATTATCTTTAACGTGCACACAAACTTACTTTATTCTCTTGCTGCCTATAATAATACCTTCGGTCGGGTAAGCCTAGTCCTGCTGGCGATATCTGAAATAGTGAAATCATTCCGCATTTTATAAGACAACCGACTAGAGTAAAGATACAATAATAACACTGATAATAATACCTGAATTATGTTTTGGCCTGCAACCTTATCGTCAGGAACAACGTCTATCTTAAAAAACGGACTCACGTTGTATTTGGAGTGCAATTGTACAATGGTACTAGTCACGTCCCACTCATGAACGTTAAAATCTTTTAATACATGCCAACCACCTAATGTATATTATGAACATAATTTAATAATATTATATTGTTAAGACGTTAAGTACACATAAAACGAACAATTCAGATTGGACCACCCAAGAGATGAGGAACAAAACATACCTAGGATAGTACTAATAATCTTCTTTAAAGGTTTTCCTTCATCTGTTTCGATATTGTCCAGGTTCATGCACGATTCGTAGAAATGCTTCATCTTCCAGTTCAACGAGGTGGAACTGGCAACGTTTCTCAACGTAACAACCATGTTCCTGATCTTTATTTTTTCTATTCAAATTCAATAAGTATAGTATAAATTTCAATATTTATTTTACAATGTATAATATTTCTAACACGTCATATAATATGCACTCGATGTACTTACGATCTTGTTGAATGCGTTTTTTCAAACTCCACGAACTCATGTACGCCGGCAAGTCGTTGGTTTGCAGCCATCCTCCACAAGAGTATTCTCTAAAATTTTCGCACGGCTGTTGAGTAAAGTTGATTTTGGGTAGAACCTTTAAACAAAAATGAATATCACATTAATATCACAAACACTTATATATATATATATATTATGTTTAATATTTAAACGTAAAGTTACAAAGAGTTTCCTGTAGTTATTCGGTTACGGATCGTTAACTCTACGCTTTATTGCTTTAATTCGATTTCAAAACCTAAAGAAACGTCATGGGCGTTGTAAGAACATCATACGAACCGCAATAGCATCTAAACGTTGTTACAAAAGTGTTGTAGACCATTTTTTTTATTTATATATAAACAGACTACAGACGACCTACAACGATCATTTAGCTCTGGATATAAATTATAGCATTTTAGGTTAGGTTCATTGTTACCATACCTTCATACCTAAACAATAGATAGGTATAGAATTCATGTTAGACACGACACGCATCACAACAGTCATTATAAAAATATATACAGACCGAGTACATTAGGTATTACGACAAAGCACAAATTAGTTTTGTATTCATATTTCATTATAGCGATCGATTACATTTTAGGTTTCCATGTACGTCCCGATTTGGGATTTTGGCCGAGACTGTACCACCGATTTTGATAATATAGCGTCCCGGTGTCCCGATAAAGTGTTTCGGGACGACAAATTGTTCCGGAATTAAACATCAATAATTTATGTTAAAATTTTGGCTTTTACTAAGCATTTCTATAGTAGAAAACAATATTGTTTTGATAAATGATAAAACAATGAAGTATATTACTTGAATGACTTGCGAAATCTATTCTAAAATTATTTTCCCGGCTTGTAGATGAGTGATTGTCAATAGTAACATTTCAATTTCCTGTTTCCACACGACAATTTTTGTTAACACTTATCTCTAATTGATAACTTTGTCGGTCATGCATTCTGATTTGTAACATCGAGTTAGTTTTTACCTCATAAACGTATGTCGTAGTGTGAAAATAAAATATGGCAACTCTAGGTTAATAAGAATTCGCTGCATAAAACTTTCTAACAAATTACAAGTGCTAATATTTTGTAGATACATAGTACTGCATTATATCATATTATATTATTATTTAATACCACGTTTTTATAAATATTAAATATTACTATAATTTATAGTCACTAACACTGTCCGGTGATCAGGCGTATATTATAGAAATTAGTATTTATTAAGCTATTCAAAATTTCTAGAAACCCTTATAAACAGCTTAAATTCGTAAACAATTTCGAAAGAAAAAAAGGTGAGTAAGTGGATGTCGCTCTGCTGTACAGTAGGTTACAAGTGGGTCACTGTAACGGATGGGGTTAAATTTGAATTTAATTATATAATATTATTATATAAGAAAAACGATTCTGAGCGAAAACGGTCGACCAGTCTATGATATTACGAAGTATATTTGATGATATTATTGTGAATAAAGTAATTTATATATACCTAACCTATTTACGTGGTACCTTTAAATTTTCAACGTAATAGCGTTTTGCTGCAGGTATTATAATGGAGCACTGGTTATCCGGCAAAATAAGCGGACCTACCTAACTATACCACTTTAAAAAATATATTATCTATATTATATCGTGTGATTATATTTTTTTTGATGTAATATCGTGTTATATATTCGAAATAATTTAGATAACATTTAATTTTTACCATCGGCCACAGATATATAATATAACTAGAAAGCAAACATATTGTTTTGTTAACTTTGAAGTCGGTCGCCATTTGTAGGTGGAGAAAAAACGATAGTGAAATAATCGATAGTTACCATAAATATATATTGTATTTTATCGATTATTATAACTTAATCGATGCCTATTACCATATATTTTTTTTATCAGATTTCAAAAACTGGTAATGTCAAAAGGTGACGACAGACACAAAAAAAAACATACATCACTGCAAAATCAATTCATTCATCGCTCCGTTCAGAATCTAAAACTGCAGATTTGAATTTTAAACAGTAGGTACATTATTATAGAATTATTGCGTTTGAATCGTTTTAACTTTTATCTTATTTACTACCTAGTCAACTGAATCAACAAACTTTTTGTAAACAAGTATTTTTAATTTTTATTTAACAATAATACACGGAACAAATTAATAACTATGAACTAATCCTACACATATTGAAAACATTTTACGACATCAAGTCTGGGTAAATTCCTCGATCAGGACTATGTCGAATCCGGTTATCAACAACACGCGGTATACACAGCCTGCTCATTTTTTCCCACACCAGCAACACAATCTCCTGCCGACTTTTAAGAGTTGCCTCCCAACTGCGGATATCAGTGACCTGCGACGAACAAGTTGAGGACGATCTGCTGCTGCGGACATCACCTCGACCACGACCGTAGGTGCACGGAGCCCGTCACTGACAACATCGGCTGTCCCGTCGGGAGATATGTCGTCATCGAACGTCTCCGATTCCACACAGGACGACTCTAGCAGCTGTTCCTGCGCGTATTCCTGCAAACTTCCACGAATCGGTGACAGTACACCGTTCGACTTTCGGCGTAAAAATGTGCGTGACCGTTGACGGCCATTGTAGATCGGCTGGCACGGTTTCGACACACGATTGCCGGAATTGAGGTACGTCCTCCGTTCCCGTCGTTCCCTCGGGAGAATTTGATTCGCTAATTGTTGGCGCGGTCCTATCGCCACCCAATATCAGAGTCAAGAATTCGGTAACATCAAGCCTCTGCGGAAATAGCGCCGGCATCACTAAATACAACGAACGTCGTACAGCCGTATCACGCAAAGCGTTGGCGAGTAAAACCGACTTGGCCGACTTCACTACAATATTGCGTTGCTCGACTACCAGCAGAACACGTTTCACTATTGGCGAACAGATTTCAATGTTCCGGAACTCGGGTAGATCTTCCGTTCTCCTCATTCCCGCAGGAGACTTTTCAATTCTTTAGAAGCGTTGTCAAACGCATATTGTCATCTTCCTCCATTATTCGGTTGAAATATGTTGAATCAAATACAAAATGAGTACCTACTATTACCACAATCAAGTGCCAAAATCTCAAAATATAAAAGATTGATTCAAAATATTATTTAACCGACTGTACGAGTAAACAATTAAGATAATATGTAAACAAATTTAATATTCTTGACAACAAAATATACCTATATAATAATATAGGTCCAGCAAAAACATTTATTTATTAGGTATAATAAAACATATTTTAATATGAATGCCCAACTAAAATTAGAATATAATTTGAAATTTAAGCTACTGTACAGACGTAGGTGTGAGAGGGTCACTGTAACGGATGGTGTTAAATTTGAATTCAATGATATAGTATCTTTGTATAAGAAAAACGATTCTGAGCGAAAACGGTCAGTCAGCCTATGATATTACTAAGTATATTTTGATGATATTATTGTGAATAAAGTAATTTATATATAACTTATTTACGTGGTACCTTGTTTCAAATTTTCAATCCTTAGCTATAAAAGTTGAACATTTTATGAATTTTTGACTACAAAATAATTATTATTAAATGTTATCAAAATTCGAACTTTAAATGCTTCTAAAAAAAAATCGTGCTTATGTATTTTTAATATTTTTCAACTGCTATTGTAATACTATATATCAGAAGCCTTGCATTAAATTTTCACGCTTTTTTACCCAACAAACTAAATTTTATTGATATTTATAGAAAAGAAACTAAAAAAATTGAAAACTGACAATGTCAGTAAACAGCTAAAAAATTTTCAAAATATTTTCAAAATTTGATGGTAAATACAAAATGAAAATATAAACATTCAGTAAAATGTTCATGTATCTACAGTTATTCGTTTTTGAATAACAATAAAATAACAAAACCGCTACATGAGAAATCGAGACAATATCCAATCTTGTTAATTTGATTTGCTCGTAGACATTTTTTTTGAGAATGGTAGACAAACTTATGAATAATCTTTTATTACATTTTCAGATCTTTACACCAAAAACCAAAATTTTGAGTAAAAATTCCCGTTTTTCCTTAATTTTTATGTCGTTTTTCCCGGCGCTTTTAAAAACTATTGGGAATTTTAAATTTTGACCTCCCCAATGCACCAACAATATTCACTTTCCCATCGAACAAGATACTGAAGTTGAAAATCGAAGAATTAATCATCACACAGACACAAAAAAACACACACACCAATACATTCATCGTTCCATTCAGAATCTAAAAATAAATAAGTTGATCAGAAGTAAATATTTTACTGTTTCCTGGACCCGGTAGGTATAATCTAGTCATTTTTAAAACGTAGCCACCATTAATGGTATATATTATAACGGAATCGGTCATCAACGCCCACTCAGAAAACCTTATTTCCATTCTATACCTGTTGCACGTATATTGAGAATTTTATGAATGGCTTCAAATAATCACATACAGTAGTAGATAAAGTAGATACGGGTAACAAATAAGGTCCTAGGATCTCCACTTTTATTAAACTTGGTCACAAAAATGCATATACAACCAATCAGAGATGCACCACCTACCGCCTTTGATTCATTTTTACGCGTGTTTATTACTAAATATTGGTACTTAATACATTTTCATAAATATCTCGATACTGGTATATTAGCATATTGGGTCGTTTTTTGAAAAATAAATACAATTAAGGTATTAATTGAAATTCAAACTTTATGAAAACATCGGGAGTATGCAATCAATAATGACGAAACAGCATCGTAGATGAATATTGTAGAAATTAGAGTCATTTACGCTGTAAACAGAACGGTGTAGACGCAGCTTAGTCCATGCACGCATGCAGACCACTATCCACTATAATAGTATGTGCGGCTCACGATAAAGGGAGTTTTCGATACGGACGAGAGGCGTTCCGGTCCACCTAACGTCAAACGACCGTCGAGACAAAAATAAACGCTGCATCACTGTCGTCCGTGCAGCTCGTCACGAAATAATCACGATATTATGTTAATATATATTCCGCGTGAGCATGATTTAGGTATTTTAAATTTTAAATTTTTACCCCGAAAACCTCAATGCGTAACCCCTATGAGGGATTAATGAACCGTGTTGGCGTTCAATCGAAGTGGGCTAGGCCAGCGGTTTTTTCGTCGTCACCCGAGCCTCGCCCTCGGATCCGGACGACGTGTTCCTGCTGCAGCACTGTAGCAGTACGATGGTATTAATGATAATGATAATAATAATAATAATAATATACGTTGCATAGGTCGTAAAAAATGCACAGGAGTGCCACTCTCAGATAGAGCACGCGCGCCCCATAAATGGTTATATATATATATTATATATAAATGTATAAATTCACAGCCAGATATATAATATATTTCGTTTCGTTTCAAGTCTTCGTAACACAGTCCGGGTGCACAACAAAATGATACGATATTATTATACTCTTATACTTTCACTAGGAGGTCGTGGCCGCGATCGACAATAGGCAAGGTTAAGGACGCACACGCTACACATTATAATATTATGTTCTCCACGGGTAATCTTATACCCTGCATAATATAATATATATACCTGTACATATCTGTACGAGAGAGTGTTTTCATATAATTGAATTCGTCACAGATATATAGGTCTCGGCCAGCGAGTCCGTCCCAGCGTAGATATATATACAATAAGCAAACGATAAACCGCATCTACGGAGATCTATCCACTTGACACACAGTAGTCAATACCTAATAATAATAACATCACGTCGTTGATAGCAGTTAGGTGTCGTGTAGTACGGTGAATGTTGTATATATTATACATACGTCGGATTTTCCGCGTATTCCTCTATTTCGGCGGTTGTATTTATTGATCTCTTCGGTGATAACCGACCACCATTGACTTGAAAGCTCTCGCCCCCGGCACAACCGTATATTATGATTTAATATTTTTGCGTAATATCGTCCTGCCTTTGGCGAAATATAGTAGGTATATGTGTACATAGAACCTATACGTTCGTACGTATATTACGTACACACGATATAAATAACATAAGGATATAATTGCGGAAATACGAGATCGGAAACAGCATAACGACTGTAGCGTTTCGAATCCTGTGTATTAAACATATATAATGTGACGGATGTTTTTCCCCTAAATCGTGTATATTATGCAGCATAAATAATAATATATTATACTGTCAAGAATCGCCCGCGCGTCCGACCGTCAGATTTACACCACGTGCAATGTTGCACTCCAAACATTGATAAAATATCGCACTGTCAGTACAATAAGGCCATAACTCAAAAAAAGCAAATGTTCAGGAAATCAATATGAAAGTTTAGAATAAAATGACAATTTTTTCATCAAACAAAAAATTATGTTCAGGGTTAAGATACATATTTATAATTTTGTTGTGATTATAATCAAGTGATTTCTATCCTTGTAAATATCTTTACTTTTGTGTGATTTCAACTTGAAGGAACAAAAATTGAAAATGTTTAGTTATGACATTTTTGCTCTACCTTTTAAATTGATTTTAGTTTTTAATACTATTTAGGCCATAAACAAAATATTTGCAGTATTAAAAATGATGATTTAATTAATATAATTATATTATTAAATACGTTGATGTTGACTCTAAAAAACACTTAAACTAAAAATAAAATAACAGCATAATATAATATTTAGTTTATAAATGAACAATTTTAGTCTCTTGAATATTTGATTATTTTTTAGCAATATTGACATTGAATTATAACAATTTGTATATTAAATTATTATTATTACAAAATAATATTATAATTTTAAAATTATAATATCATTTTCTGTATTAAAATAAAAAATTAATATCATCTCTTCTGTCTCTTAGTTTCCTTATTATTTAAAATAAATAATTTTTCCTCAATATATCTTCTACTGTAGTAGTGTGGTTGAGAATTGATAATCATAGACAGTACAATTAATATATTTACTTATATTCTCTTAAAAATTATTTTAATAAATTAGGTATACATTTTGTAACAGTCTTATGATGTTAATTCAATAATACATACCTAATATTAATACTTAAGTTAGCAAAATACAATTTTTACTATATATTATAATAAATTATTAAGTAATTACTGTCTTACTCGGTTTTCCTTTATGTTAAGTAGCTCTTTTAGTGGTTTTAATAGATATTTTTGCATCACACTAACTTAAAAGCTTTTTAACTCTACCACGAGAAGTCGTTATAGTTATTATGATAATACAAAAATAAACACAATTTAAAATTTTGAATTAGGGTAATAGAGTATGACTAGAGTATAAACGAGTGTAATAAATGAATGATAATAATATTTTAATATTATTATTGTAATAACGTATGTAATATCTCAATATGCTATATAGACCTGAAAATTTGATTGTTTTAAGTTGCAAAAGCGCCATATTTCAATATATATTTTTATTTTTTTTTAATTGAATTTAAATTCATACATACACAGCAAACTTATATATTTGCTCTTAAAAAAACATAATTTTACGAATATTCGAGCAAGAGTTTAAATTTAAATTGTATAACAAACAACGTAACATTGAATACACAATGATGATCATAAGTCATAACTATCACAACTGATGGAGCAAAGAAATATCATCAATAATAATTATCAATATATATAGGTATATATTAGTATTATAGCTTCGATATTTTACTCATAAAAAAAAAACGATAAAATGCCTTTAATTTGTATTGACAATCAAGGACAGAATATAAGACATACAATACATTCAATTCTATTTTTCTTTGATGCAATTATTGTACATCAAAGTTTTAAAAATATCTTAAACAAACTATATACATATTTAAATTCTATTATTAATACAAATAAGTAATAACCATGCATTTCTATGCAATACAGCCGACATAATAAAGTACAATTAGCCTAAACACACAGTTCAACACATCAGTGGAATGTTTTTA